GTCTGTCTGTGTAAACATACATACACTGAACACAAAAACAACCTTGAAGCAGGACACCAGCTAACATGGAAGCAAATAATCATAAATATGATATCTTAATTGTTCATCTAACTTCAGAACGAATAACCAAAAACAAAAGAAAATGACAAGCATAATTACTGAAAAAGAAAACTTTGGCAAAAATTTAGAATTCCCAGGAATTGAAGAAATATGAAACAGCTATAATGGGTTGAAACAGGGTGGGACAAGTGAGCTTGAGCTAATAAAGTGCATGAAAAACATGAATGAAAGAAAAAAAACCCATGTCAGATCAGATTCTAAAGGTAACAGAAGACCACAAAAAAACAACCAGTTAGCCAATACCCATACTATACTATGGGCCATACACAAAACAGCAGATAAAAGTTCCTAATTGCAGTGAAAAAGTATAACAGTGAACTATGAACTAATGGATTCGTGAATGATCACTACATATTATTGAGACCTGAGGGCACAGTCTATTGAATGGTATCGAATGTACTACATAGAACAGAAACATTCATGAGGTTATGCATATGACTACTATCCAAGAAATACTAGTCACTCCCTGGCAGAGTCTATAGAATGGTATTGAATGTACTACATCGAACAGAAACATTCATGAGGCTGTGCATATGACTACTATCCAAGAAATACTAGTCCCTTTAAAATCAATAGGGCAGGTGTTATATAGGCTTTCAAATATAAATTCTGAAAGCATTTCCAGAGCCTATAAATTCAGAGTACTCAGCATGGAACTAAAACAAATATACTAATTACTCTAAGTCTATAGTAGACTTTTTCATGTTTCATATTCTAACTTTCATGTCCACAAACAATTTTCTTTAAATGTGGGACTTTGATTGTGGGAAGATATTTACAAATAAACCATGCTGAAGAATGCTAAATCTTCAAGGACTGGAATTCCATGTAGTCATGCGGTACATAAATTAACTGCTACACTCGAGCATTACGGCATTTTTTTCACTTGAAATACCCCGTTAACATGGAATTTAGAATTGATTTTTGGTAGGTCCTGATTTATGACAGGCTCACAGTACTGAGAACAGGAGTTGCCAAAGCATTAAGCATTCCCATGATTTCAAGGGAAAATATCTGCAGCATTTCCTTGTAAGCATCAAATAGAGTGTCAGATGTGGCTATCATGTTTTAAGGTTTTTGCAGCTACAAGAATGAATATCATTCTCTTCATAAAGAACTTTCTTAAAATTAACCATAATGAGATAGTCTTAGATTTTTAAAATAGTAACAAGTTATAAGGATGTCTACACAATATTCAAGAAATCGCTCCTTAAAAGCTTTTGCTTGTCTACAATTGAAACCAATAAATATAGAATATTGACTCCATCCTTTCCCAATGCAAGTACAATGCACACATGGTGGGGCTGATTATGATGATAGCACTCTTATCGAGGATTATATAGTTCTCTCGAAGGAAAAGATAATATAGGGAAATCAAGAAAATAGCACATTAAGAGATAGTATTAACATGATTCATAGGAAGTTAGAGGTTGCTCCTACAAAGGATAAAGCAAGAGAAAAGCGATTGAGATGGTTTGGTCATGTCCAACGGAGGCCACTAAATGAGACTGTTAGGAGAAGTTATAAAGTTATAGCTAAAGAAGGAGGCATAGAGGTAGCCATAAATAAACTTGGTTAGAAGCAATTAGGGTAAGGTCAACTTAACAAATAAGACAGCTTTTAACAGAAATTAATGGAATAATAATATTCATAGAGCCGACATCAGAATTTTGGGATAAAGAGATTTTGATGTTGTTGTTGATGTTGTTTTATTGTGAAGAGAATAGCTTAGTAGCATGTAATGGATCACTCATGGGGAACTATAATGAATAATTCATGGCATGCATTAAGTTAAAAAAACACCAATAAAAGTAATTCATGTAAATGTATTCACTAAAGCATGCAGAACGGTATGAACAAATAATCACCTTTTCCATATGCATAAAAACTGCCAAGAAAGGAAAGATGAAGGAAAAAGGTTTGACAAACTATTTATCAAACAGAGTGCATGCAGAGTAAGACATGTTACTAATCTTTTGCAGAGTAAGACTTGTTACTAATCTTTTATCAGTATGAACTAGGTGGTAGATGCATACAAAGTAAACTTTACTCATCATCTGATGCCAGCTCTCCATGAGTTCCCTAGCTTCATTGATAGTAGTATCTAGGTCCTTCAGCACCTCATTAAGTTTCTCATCCGAATCTGACTCGGACACATTGAGTTCTTCAAATACAGGTATCAAAGGTTCCAAGATCTCCTCAATCTTGAGATGGTATCTCTGGACAAGTTCAGCTTTTGCTGTGTTGCTGGAAGATAAAGAACTTAAGCGAGAAATACTATTTAGCAGAGTCTTCAGCAAAGATACATCCATTGTACCTGTTGCAAAAGCATCAAAATGTCATCATAGGCATGCATCTAGCTTCAAGTAAGTTGAGTTCAATTTGCTGAAATTTCTTGGTAACTACCACTAAAAACTGAATACAGAAATCAGAAAATTGATCGATCGCATAACAATACCAAAATAGTGAATAAACAGGATCTTATATGTTTGACTAAAGACAAGGGCGGCAAACCATAGTCTAAAAATTTGTAAGTCAAGTTCACCTAATGCATGCCAATGAGGGAAGGAAGCTAATTTCTACCTTTATATCATGTTAAATGTGTGTCATAATATTATTCTTCACAAGCCTAGAGTTAGGAGCAAAGGCCACTAAACAAGAAATCAAGAATCAAATTCCTGGCTTCAGTATAAAATTCAGACCAGATATCTTCACAACCTAAGATGGATAAATGCATTAGCTTATTGCATTTCATGTGTTATATAAATATTAATTTGATCATCTTGACAAGAAGAAACATCTGTAGGCCCTTTACACAGTTATTCTATATGAAACTTCAAGTTGAGAATTTCAGATACAAAGAATTCCTCGATGTGGTTTTCAGAAACTCGATGCACGCCTATGTTAATCCATATAAAGGGAACCACAGCAGCATAAACATTTCGCTTAAACCACAAGAACAGCTTATAAATTAAGGGATATATTATGATCTATATACTTCTCTGCAAATGCAATCCTAGGCACTGAACCCTACCATAACATAGGTGTATCAAGGACTGGGTGTTACCACCAAGTGGGAATCAAAAGAAGATACACATTATGTCCATTCTGACTTCTCATCAATTCCCACATCATGTGGGAATGGGTATTCCAAATGAGTTATCAAGGAAAGGGCATTACCACTAAGTGAGAATAAAAAGAAGATACATATTGTTAATTTAGCTGGCTGGATTATCTTTGTGATAATCCATCCTTTCTCTCAAAAAAAAAAAAGATACATATTATGCACATTCCCACTTCAATTCTCTAATTGCACCCCAAACGTACGAATGAGCATTCCATCCCCATATTTATTTCATTCCATTCCTTGTTTCATATCATTCTCACTTCACTTGAGTCCCGCGTACCAAACGAGGCGTTACAAGCTTCTTACAAGTTCTAAATTTTAGAAAAGCTTAATGACAACCCCGACGTGACCAGAATTCCAAATTAAGCAAACAAGAAGATTCAAAATCTTCCTTCTATCAAATTTCTTCGCAACTAAATCTTTCGCAAATTGTAGTTCAAAAATCAAAATTTCCAAAACATTAGTTACCAAAAGCCCATCCAACCAAAACCTAAAACATACATTTACAACTCAGGAAACTACAGACTACAGAGTACCGAAAACCTAATCATAAATCCTAAAAGTAGAACCCCCACAACCAATTCACAAAAAGGATCAACTTTAGAAGATTTCTATACGGTTACCACTGACAAAATTCAGAAGATCAAAAATCAAAAGACAACAAACCTCAATCACCAAAACCCTAACAGCTCGCGAGCTACGGTCTTGAGGGTACTGAATCCTAGTCCTAGACCCTAAAAGTACAAATCCACGACAAATTCACCCCAAAAAAATCACATAGATCGCCGGATATGATTCAATCCTTGATATTTTTCGATCTGAACTCAAATTTCGCAAAAATCAAGAGATCTAAGAGGTTGACGAAGATTGAGATCGAGAAATCTAAGAATCTAACCTTTGCTCCGTTGGCTTCTCGAAGCTTCGGTTCGATCTTCTGCTTTCTTCTTCGTCGTCGTCGTCTTCTTCGATCACTTTTCTGGGGGCTTCGGGGGATGAATGAGAGGGGGGTGGTTGTTCTTCGGGGGTATTTTGGTCATTTCTAATTTACAGTAAATATCTGTCGTCTCTATTTCTTAGCTGCTGACTAGGAGAGAGAATATTTTTTATACGAAAAAAAATTAAAGTTTTTTTTTTTTTAAATTAGTCAGTGCTTAAATATCTCTTTTTAAGCCTTTACTTGATCAAGTATGAAACCGCAAAGAGGACGTCGTCTCATATCGACTGCATAATGTTGACAAAGATGTATAATGACACTGACATGCAATGGCAACTGAAGGGTGTATTCAACGAAAAAAAAAAATTATTTAATTTTCTCTGTGTGTGCTAAGGGTCCGTTTGATTGGAGACTGAGGAACTCGAAAGCTGCCACAGTAGTCCCATCTGTGGCAGCTTTCGGGCAAAAACGTCTCTAAAAGAGGTGTTTTTGCTCGAAAGCTGCCATAGATGGCATTGATGTAGCAGCTTTCGGGCTCTTTCCCACCCAAAAACGAAGAAACAAACAGTCCCTAAGAAAGCTAGAATTTTGTTGCTTTTGGTGCGAATTGTGATTTGCGAATCACATGAAATTACTCTTTAATATAGTTGAAATGGAATACGTGTTCAATTTGAATCTCATCCGAATCCTCACATGCAAACTCGGTGTTTCCAATCACGAAAAAGGTCATTTGAAATCTCCATTAATTATCTTTACCGTTCTCATGATCTATTCGTATGTTAGTTTTTCCTAATAGAATTTGTACTCAAAAGTGATAATATCTAATTATAAAATATAAAAAAATAAAAAACTACTATTGAGAATGAGCAGTTAACATTTTCCTATTTTCAATAATCTAAACATTTACGAGCCGATGATCAAAGTCATTACTTATGCTAGCTTATCGCAATGTGATTAATTTTTTATATAGATTGACAGAATAAAGTGGGAAAAAAATTAACGGCTAAATATCTTTAATCCAATTCAATAAAGCTCAGCGTCTATGTTAAGGACGACAGCCATCGATATAGGAATTAATAAATGTATGAAGTGTGCCGTCCTAGATTTAGCACTAATGGTGTGTTTGGGAGTTTACTAAGGGAAGGGAAGGAAAGGTAAACAACGGGAAGGGAAGGGAAGGTAAGGGAAGAGAATTGTAATATGTTATTTGGGAGTTGAGTAAGGTGAATGAAGGTAAAAGGAAGCAAATATATGTAAATTTATATAAATAACTTTATACTAATAACACATCAGCCCTTTTATTTGTTTTGATGGGGGTAATAATGTCATTACACCCCTTTACCCTCCTTTACCCTCCTCTACCGCCCAAATCGGGGGGAAAGAAAACCAAACAATTTTACCTTCCGTTCCCCTTCCTTCCTCCTCTCTACCCTCCTTAAAAAAACTCCAAAATAAGGTGAAAGCTGCATTTCTCTTCTCCTCCCCCTCTCTACCCTTCATCCAAACAGGGCATAAAGTAAACGACTCCAATATCTCTTTGCGTTATAAAGTTGGAAACATTTGATGTATTGTTCCATAAATATTATTTCCTAATTAATCAAGTAAAGTGTTGTTAACTCTCTTTCTTCGGCGAAGAGTGGAAGATATGAGGTAGCAGAAGGAAATAAATTAGCCAATAGATTCGGTGCTCCATGGCATCTTCTGTAAATAGAAAAGCCTAAAATCTAGCTCTCTAATCCACAATTTAAGGGATTATGCGGTTGATAAGCCTTCCACACCTACATTTGTAAATAGGTTGAACTTAGAGGGTAGTTTTGAAGTTGAAAACATCATAGAAAAGGATAAAACTAATATTTGAGAAGGGTTAGTTTTCTTCAACTAATTTTTTACTTGATCTTTAACAAAATCTAATTTGGCCTTATTCTATCATATTAGATTTCTCTCTTCTATTTTTTCTTCCTTATTTATGAAAAAAAAACTGGTATTATAATGCAAAGTTGTGTTTAAAATAGATATTATTGTTCTTGCTTTTAGTCATATTGTATAAAATTATGCATAGCATGCATATGTCAATTCCTTTCTTATCATTATAAAGAGAAATAAAATTAACCGTTGATTGTAAAATTACACTTTTATTTATATTTTCACTGAAAAGATTTAGAACTAAGTCAGAGGATCTTTCTGTTGCGCGCAGCGGAAATTTCGGCAGCACTTCGGCAGCACAACAAGAGAGTCAGGTCGCAATAAGAATTCTTGTTTCTCAAAGGGAACAAGAATCTGAAGCCTATATCCTATCAAAGTAGGATATTAGCTCTTCCTCTCGTCAGCTCTAGGACTGCGCGTCGAGGGACCCTAAAAGCTATTACAAATCACACAAATAACGAGACAACCAATTTTAACGTGGTTCGGCAAATTGCCTACGTCCACGGGGCAAGGAGGGGGGAGATCTACTAATAGAGGGAGAGAATACAACTAGGGTTTACAATCACTCAATCTAAACCCTCAAACAAACTCTCTCAAATCCCTCACAATATCTCTCTACAAAAGATGCACAAAACCTTGCACACCTGCTGCTTCTCCTCTGTGTTCTTCACCTGCAGCCGCAAAAAGAGAAAAAACAACACAGCCAAATCTCCTCCGCTCACCTCAAAAAAAGCCTAGAAATTAAACTTTGCTATTTATAGGCTATATGCGGATGACCTTTGAAACCGGCTCGTACCCGAACGAAATCAAAAAACGCGTATGCGGATGACCTTTGAAAACCGGCTCCGAACGAAATTAAAAACGCGTCTTTGATGATGTCTTCACCCAACTTCTCACATGGGTTGGCCCCACCACAATTCGTGGCCTCAATTCGTGGCCACACGTCACACATTTTCACATTCTCACATGGGTTGGCCCCACCACAATTCGTGGCCTCAATTCGTGGCCACACGTCACACATTTTCACAATTCTCCACCTCGGTGAAGTTTTCTCAAAACTGAGCCGACACCAAAGTAACCAAATGTCTCACTTGTTGTGGCCAGTACGAAGTCAATCCACAACAAGTCGAGAACTCAAACGAGAGATATAAGCTCCAAATTAGGCTAAACTAAATTATTAATTTTAACTAAATCTAAAAAGTATACCATGTGCATTGCGCGTGTGCAATTTACCTAATAGACGTGAAACAAGGGAGGTGGGTGAAGTGGTTATGGACAGAGAAATAATAGGATAGGAATTGAAAAGAAAAGGACAAATGCACCCTTGTTATTTTCAGCCCAAAACTTTAAATTTTCACCCATTTAATAATTATAAAAATTCTTATTTTCAGAACACCAAAGCATAACTCAATAAATTAAGTGTTACTTTTACTATTTTCGATAAAAATGATTGTTTGTTTCTCTTTTAAAAAAATCTAATTCTAACATCCGATATGGCGTCTACGTGTTACTTTACTTCTTAAAACTTTTTCTGTTCCAAAAGACTCAGGAAATATATAGGAGAAAATGTACTGCATCCGCTATTTTATACTTTTTTTTGTCTTGCTTCTTACTTCGAGTACTTCCATCATCTAATCTACATTAGCAATTATTGAACTATTTGTTAATTATTTGGTTCATTTCCACCCCTAGTCCTACATAATTTTAAAGGTGTCCTAATCAATAAGTACAAGTAAAGATAAAAGATATATAAAACAAGGAAGACGCTACAGGCATACCCCCACCCCCCTCTATCTACATTGCAGGGGGGCTCACTTGAGATTTTTAAAAAAAATCTCAAGTGGAGCCCCCTACACTGTAGCTAGAGGGGGGTGTGGTCGAAGGTATGCCCGAGGGTGTGCCTCTATCATTTCTCATAAAACAAAGAATCCAATGATGTCTTTTGACCCCACTAGCACTGTATAGCTATGCCACTATCCTTAATATTACTAGTTTTAATATGATGGAAGATATACGTTGAAAAGACTATATCTCCAATATATACGGATTTCAACCCACCATTTCTTGAAAAAGAATTGTTTCTTGTTATAACGTACACATTTTCTTGAAGTTTGACCACATCAAAACGTCAGAACTACGATGAAATTAAGGATTATGGTTTTATATTGTAAGATGTCTTTGTTGTTTGAATGTCCTTTTATGGGCTAAAATTTGAACTCACCCATAATACCAACTTTTTAAAACAATTCTTTAAAAATTCATGGATGATGAAAATTGAATTTAGATTGCTCTCATATCATCTTTTAAGTTTCTGGCAATAATCCCATGATATTGCGCGATTCTTTAGATGATTGCAACCTATTTTTGATGTAATTGTCTAATTAAGCTAGTCAATTAAATTGATGTTTGGCAAACGGAAGGTGAATTGAAAATATCTAATTCGCTACAGATTAGCATGTAAGTAAAAAAAACGATGCTAATTTTTGCAATCATTTTTTAAATTGCCAAAACAGGGCAAGTACGTCTTAGTGGAGGCATTTGATTGAAATCAATGATGTAAAATTATGTTATTTCATAAACCTTCCTTAACTCTTGAGTGTTGTTGTAGATAGTCCTTTTGAACTTTTTTAACCTGAGAAGAAACCCCAAAAAAGTTAGGGTGGTAAATTTAGTGGAATCAAAAAAAACTTACAAAGAGATTTATATTATATGCAACACCCTCGAAGTTCATATGGTATTCTTGAACTAAAATAGTTAACTGAGATTAACTATTCCGATGCCGTCAATCTTATTAGAGTTCGTTTAGATACTTTAGTATGAGATTTGAGGTGAAAGGGAGGGGGGAAAGGCTCAATTTTGTTCCCCTTCAAATTGGGAGTAGAGGCAAAGATAAAAAAAAAATTGTACGTAAAAAAGGCTAAATTGCACTTAAATACCATAAAATTTTCATGCTTTGTCTTTTTATATACCACAATTACAAGTTGTATTTTGTGGTAGACAAATATCCAAGGTTGTTTAAAAAATTATTAAGTTAGTGCCCCTGATCATGCAAATGTGAAAACTTACACCCGAGATATTTGTATATGATAAATACATGCTGATTTTAAATATTTTTAATTATTAATATTTGTTAAATTTGCTATT